AAAAAAAAGTTCTATAAGTGGGATGTCTGTTGCCTGTCCTCAGTGACCTTTTATTTGTTAGATATTTCTTACATAAGCCAGTCGTGTAACCTCCCCCACTGAGTTCCCCTCACCCCGACAGCACTGCTTATGAAGCAGAAGGTGACATGGGAGTTTCTAACCCCTCTTTGATTTCAGCCGTCAAGCTGAGCCACCAAAGAAGGAGGCTGCAGCCACAGGGCCACAGGTGAAGCGGGCAGATGAGTGGAAGGACCCTTGGCGGCGGTCCAAGTCTCCCAAGAAGAAACTCGGGGTGTCCGTCTCTCCTAGCCGGGCCCGGAGGCGTCGGAAAACATCAGCCTCATCAGCTTCTGCCTCCAACTCCTCCAGGTAACAAGGCTGGTTGTGTACATGGCCAGTAAGTGAACATCTCAGAGTGTGTCTCTGCGCCACCCCACTGCCTCCAGCCATGTCCACTTACCGAGTCAGGCTGGGGACACCTGGCCAAGCTGTTTGTGTGGTGGGTCATTGCCTGAGGAAAGGTAGAAGAACTAAGCAGGTTCTGTACATTTAGCAGAGAGCGTCAACCTGTGACTAGGGCTGATGCTTAGAACCTTGGCATGTCCCTCCAAAATACACGTTAGAATCAACCAGGATGCCACAACCCAGAGTGGGTGCCAACCCCCAATAGTGAGCCTAGCTTTACTCCAGGGAGTCTCACAGCCACACCGGCAGGGGTGGTGAGGGCCCTCACCCAGGTCCCTTTGGAAAAGGCACTGAGATCTGGAGACTATGCCACTGGACTCCCCAGGTCCAGCCCCTTCAGTTTCTCCTGGAGGTTAGGTCAGCAGCTCTGAAACCCTCACTATGTGGTTTAAATACCCAGGAGGTGAGTGGTGGGGGCTGGAGCCAGTCCTCGTTCTCCAGAGAGGAGGGGGCAGGGGGTCCTACAGCACCGGGTGGGAGATCAGGGCTCACAGATGCAGATGCCAGGCACACAAGTGCACTGACAAATGCATGCTGGGTCAGTGTCAGTGCAGACACACACTGGCTCTGCTCAGGCAGGGTTGCCTGGTAACCTGGGCACATATGGTGCCCAGGCCTTGGTTTCTCAGCACCATTCTCCACTGGAGGGGAGAGGGGTGAGTATACCTATGTGTGAGAGTATCTGTACCTATGTGAGTGTGTCTAAGTGTACCTGTGTGTGTCTGTGCCTGTGTGAGCATGTGCAGCTGTCAGTCTAGACTTGCTTGTCCTGCTAGGCGTGCAGGTCCCTCTCTCACCACCCTCCCTCCATACACCCAGGTCGTCCTCGAGGTCCTCGTCCTACTCCGGCTCCGGCTCATCCCGCTCACGCTCCCGGTCCTCATCCTACAGCTCCTACTCCAGCCGGTCGTCCAGACGCAGCTCTTTCTCAGGCAGCCGGTCCAGGTACGGCCGGGCAGGGACCTGGTGGTTGCTGTGGTGGGCGTGGCGTCTCTGGACCCGCTTCTGCCACCATGTGCTTGAAGGGACAGGTATTGGTGTTCTGGGTGCTATTTTCAAAATGTCCTCAGCAAGTCATGTGACTAGGGGCCAATTGCAAAGAGAATCATGTGGTGGGCAATAACAGGAGTCTTGGGAGGCAGAGGCCCTCTGCATGTGAGGGCTGTGCTGTGGAGGCACCTGCCACGGGCTGCTTCCACGTGCTGGGGTCACGGGTAGAACCCTGGGTTTCACAGCTCTGGCCACATCCTCAAAGCCATGCATGTCCTGCAGGGCCCCAGCAGGGACATGTGCATCTCACTGGGAGTACTCAGCTGTGCTAGCACAGAAGGAGAGCTTAACATCACCACAGAAAGTACTAGAAGATGGGAACAACTTTTTGTTGTATTTTCTCATTGAAAAGAGAATTTTAGACAAATCTTGGTTGTCATTTGGGTAGAAAGAGTAGTCGTTGGGCACCAAACCGGAGCTTGTGCCAGCCCACCTTGCCCGCGGTCCTGTCTTGGCACAGTCCCTGCCATGCTTTCTGCATCTGGGGAGCCCTATCCTGTCGGGACAAGAAAGGCTCAGGCCGAGAGCTGAGGCATCCATGGGCCCCATCTGGCTGCCACAGCAGGCTATGTCTAGGCCAGTCATCAGCTCCCATCCCAGGAGGCCCACAGGGAGGGGGAGGTGCACACAGACCTCCACTCTTACCCCACTGCTTTCAGAAGCGTTGACCCCAGGTGTTCTTGGAATAAAGCTCGTCACCTTCCTGGCAGATGGTCCTTTTGGGGCCACCATGGAGGGGTCAAGGCAGCAATAGGGGTAGTTGCTGCTGTCGAGTCTGGTGGTCAATGTGGCGCTTCTGTGGGGCAGGGAGCAGACTATATGTGGGCCCTCTTACCTTTGACAGCAGATGGCTATGGGGCAGAGAGGGCACTGCTTCCAGGAACACATTGAGGGTCAGCTTCAGGCACAGATCTCAGGACCCTGAGCATGAGGCCTCATGCTGCCCCTGGGGTACAGAAAAGGGTGAACTGGGGTGCACTACCTGTCAGAGGGAAACACACATCACAGCCTCAGAAGAAATTTCACTGAGGGTAGCACCTGTGGCTTAGTAAGTAGGGCACCAGCCCCATATCCCAAGGGTGACGGGTTCAAACCCAGCCCCAGCCAAACTGCAATAAAAAAATAGCCGGGCGTTGTGGCAGAGGCCTGTAGTCCCAGCTACTCGGGAGGCTAAGGCAAGAGAATCACCTAAGCCCAAGAGCTGGAGGTTGCTGTGAGCTGTGACGCCACGGCACTCTACCGAGGGTGAAAAAGTGAGACTCTGTCTCTAAAGAAGAAATTTCACTGAACAGGCAGCAAGCCTGCGCCTCACTCCTGTAATCCCAGCACTTAGGAAGCTGAAGCAGGATAACTTGAGCTCCAGGGTTCAAGACCAGCCTGGGCAACATAGTAAGACCATGTCTCTACAAACATCTTCTAAATTAGTCTGGCAGGGCAGATGCCTATAGTTCCAGCTACCTTAAAGGCTGAGGCAGGAGGATCCCTTGAGCCCAGGAATTTGAGGTTACTGTGAGATGTGGTGACACCACTGCTGGGCTACAGAGCAAGAGGGGGAGAGAGAGAAAAGGGAAGGAAGGTACAGGCCCTGAGTATGGGGAGAGGGCTAGAGGCCAAGCCTAGAAGTGTGGAAATTTGGGAAGTGTGAAGTCACAGTGATACGGGGAAAGCATTAAACGTGTCTTTGCTCTGTGTGTCCAGTTGACAGTCTCGGAAAAGAACCTGAGAAGAAAGCCTTTTGATGCCACTGTCACCTGAGGTCAAGGCCCCCCCCAGAGGCAGCAGTGAAGAGCTCAGGAAATAGCAGAGGAGGGAGACTGGTGGCCCTCACCCGAGTTAGCACAGGCCGGTGGGGGGCGGGGGAGGCATGTGTCCTCCCCAGAGACAGGCCAGGCCTGTGCCTTCACTACCCAGTTCTAGATGAATCCCACTTGACTTCTTTGGGCAGGTTCTGCCTGGCTTCCCTGGGCTCTTTAAACCCCACTTGAGGGCGGCACCTGTGGCTCAAAGGAGTAGGGCACCGGCCCCATATGCCGGAAGTGGTGGGTTCAAACCCAGCCCTGGCCCAAAAAACTGCAAAAAAGAACTGACATATAAACCCCACTTGACTGCTGAGTGGGGCCATGGAGGGTCTGATCCTGCCCTCCCTGTGACTTACATCTTCCCCAGAAGCGAGGGTTCCTTCCCTCGTAGACCTTGGGTTGGCAGGTGGGTGGACAAAGGGGCACTCAGGCCTGGGCTCGGCAGTCTCTCTGTAAAGCTGAGCTGCTGTGGCCCTTCAGGGAAGGAGGACAGCTGGCTGGGCTGGGAGGGTGAGCTTGCTGCCTTGTCACAGGCTCAGACCAGGCCTGGCTTCCTGGCAGAGTGAGTATGAGGCCTGAGGGCAGGGGGCTCCTGTGTGGCCTCCACTCAGGGCTCCCGAGTGCCCAGCTGCAGGAGCCACACCTGTCTCACTCCTCCTGTTGCTGTTTCATGAAATTTTTCCAGAAATGCTGAAAATCCCATAGGGACAGGGTTTAGGTTGGGAGGAAACAGGCAGACCCCAAGCTTCTCCCTCTTGCCTCACGTGTGACACCACCGTCATGAAGCCCTGAGTTGTCCCTGGACAGTGGAGTCAGCCAACCTGGACCCCCTGCCACCATTCCCCTTTCACAGGTTCCCATCTGCTGATACCAGAAACTTGTGTCACAATTGAGCCCTTCCTATTTCCCTCCAGCTGGGGCCCTCCGTGGGCCTGACCAGCCCTTGTCACCTCTGGTGCCCACACGTGTCCACAGCACTCAGGCTACATCTCACAGCTCTCCACCCCTAGCTGCTGGGTCAGCACTCAGCCCCAAGCTGCGCCTGCCCTGTCTGCCTGTGCTCCCGTGTCCAGAGGGAGCATAAGCCGTGTTCCTGCCCCACCCCAGGGATCTACCAGGGAGTGTGACTATCCCTGCAGCCCTCACTGTTGTGTTTTTAGTGAGTGACAGATAAGCTTGTGGTGCCTCCTCTGAGGATGTGGGGCTACGCCATGCCCTGCCCTCCTCATGCCTCTGTTTACTCCCTAGGTCGAGGTCCTTCTCTTCATCCCCGTCCCCATCTCCAACGCCTTCCCCACACAGACCATCTGTCAGAACCAAGGGGGAGCCAGCCCCACCCCCTGGGAAAACCGGGTAAGTTTCTAGCATGCTATGCTATGGGAGAAACTAGGTGTCCTTGGGCCAGGTTGTGCAGGCCTACACTTGTCATGCAGGCCCGCAGAGGTGAGGAAGCCTCTGTGGGCTGTGGACAGAGTGCCCTGAAGGAGTGTGGAGCGTCCTCACACAGTGAGCTCCTCCATCACAGAGGCCCTGTGGCCTTGGACAGTGTTGTTACTGTCCCCACTCCCATCTGAGGTCTCTGCTGGCAAACAGGCTGCAGGATGGCTCCCTCCACCCTGTAAGCCAGGAAGCCCTGTGGCTGTGTCTGAATGCAGCAAGGTGAACAAGCACTCAGGTCAGGCTGATCCACAGCAGCTAAGACACAGTAACCCCCAGAGGTTAGGGAGACTTTGAGGTGCTGGCCGTGCAGAGCTCAGAACAGTAACGTGCAGCATCCCAGGCTACAGCATACACCTACTCCCCCAGGCTGAAGGTGGGCTGTGCTGAGCACTCTGGGACAGCCCGGAGTTAAACTGAAAAGAGGGCTGCCTCACACCATAGCAGAGGTCGAGGGCCTGCCCTGGGGCTGCTCTGTGTTGTGGACAAGGCTGTCTTCCTTCTGTTTTACGTTTGTATTCACTGGATTTTTCTTGTTTGTGCCGTGGGATGCACTCCATCACCTGCCGTGGTGGGCATTAGCCAGCTCTTTCCTGTAAGCATCTGTCCTTAGCTCACAGGCCTCAGAAGAATTCAGAAAATCCTGAGCAGCTCCCTTTTAAAAATAAACCGCTAGGCTCAATGCCCATAGCTGAGTGGTTAGGGCACCGGCCACGTACACTGAGGCAGGCGGGCTTGAACCCGGCCCTTGCCTGCTAAACAACAATGACAACTATAACAAAAAAATAGCCGGGTGTTGTCACTGGCATCTATAGTCTCAGCTACTCGGAAGGCTAAGGCAAGAGAATCGCTTAAGCATGAGTTTGACCAAGGGTGACGTAGTGAGACTCTGTCTTAAATAAACAAACAAACCGCTAAAGTGAGGAATGATCGTGTTCAGCACCACATCCATTTAAACAGTGCCCAGGGATGAGTTTGCAGTGCAAGGCATTCTGGCACACTTGGCCACAGGGCCCCTGCTAGAAGCAGCTCCCTGCACACTCCCCCTGCCAGTCCCCATCCCCAAACCCTCCTGTGAACCCTGCTACCAGGCGTTGCTCATTGACAGGTAGCTGCTGATCAGCTGCTATAGTGAAGGACTTTGTGTCTCCTGCCATCTTCAGCTCTGGGGACCACAGCCAGTTCACATTCCCCTCTGTGCTGCCCAGGGCTGCCCACACAGTGTGCATGTCACCTTTCCTGCCATGGGGGGAGCACGTGCCAGCCATTTCCTCAACCTGGCTGTGTAGCTCCTGTGCTGGCATCTTCCAGTGCCAGTGAGGCAGTAGGCCTGCTGCAGGCCCAGAGTGCATTCTTATAGTGGGCAGTGCCAGCCCAGGAGCACCTTGAAGCTCTGAGGTGTGCTCACCAAGTCTTCTGAGGGCCTGTCTTCCTGCCCACCCCATGCTGCCTTCAGCTCTCACTTCGGGGAGGGAAGCAGGGAAGTAGTGGTGGATGGCTTTAAAGACACTCTGAGAGTCACACAGGTCAGCAGGAGACAGCAGCACCTGGGTGATGGGCATGGATGCTGCACCCTGAGGGTGGAGCCTCGCCCCTGCTCGTCCCCTAGCCCTGACTGAGCCTGCCTTTGCACACAGAGAGAAGTCCATGAAGAAGCCGGCCGTACCTCCTGCCCCACCACAGACCACTAAAGCCACTGCTCCTGCCCCTGAACCCACCAAACCAGGAGATCTTCGAGAAGCCAGGAGGAAGGAGCGACAAGCCAGGAGTCCCCCCAGGAGGTAAGAGCCAGGTGGCAGGAGGGTGCCCCCAGGGGAGCAGTAGTGTTCCTGAACCAAGCCTGTCCTGCCCCATCTTGACCTGTGTGGCTTTGGCCAGTCACGTCCTCTCCCTGAGCACACTTCCTTATAGTAAGACAGGAGGATAGGCACTTGGGGGTGTGCTGTCTGCACCTCCCCAGGCAGGCGATGGTCTAGAGAGAGACTTAAGAGTGTCTTTGACGTACTTAGTTTTATATTTTGAAGAAAAAATGAACCTGAAAGAAAATAGGACCCAATTCCAGCTCAGCAACAAGTAATGGATTTGGAAATTGGCCCTGGGCCAGTGTTCAGCCTGTTTTGAGGAAAGTGCACCCTCTGAGCCACGTGTGCTTGTCTTGTAGGCGGACGCTGAGTGGCAGTGGCAGTGGCAGCGGCAGCAGCTACAGCGGCTCGAGCTCCCGATCCAGGTCATTCCCAGCTCTCTCCGGGGCCCCTCCCCATCAACCTGGGCAAAGCTGACTCAGGTGGGAGTATCCACTCCCCGGGTACTGATTCCCCAGGCCTCTAAAAGGCTTGGATTTGACAGAGGAGAAAACCAGCTGCACTTGAGCCAGGGTGCCAGGCTCCGGGAAGAGGAGGCCTGTTCACAGGCATGTGCAGGGGGCCGGAAAGCCACACAGGCCCTCAGTGCCTACTCTCATATGGCAGGCTGGGTCCCCATGGGATTGTCACAGCCAGCCTGGCAGCCTTGGGGGAGTCCATAGAAAGCTTTGGGAAGAGAGTAAGTGAAGAGATTCCTACTGCTCAGTAATTTAAAAAGACTGGGACCAGGGCAGCACTTACAGCTCAATGGGTAGGGCGCCGGCTACATACACCAGGGCTGGCAGGTTTGAACCCAGGCCAGCTAAAACAACGACGACAACTGCAACAACAACAACAAAAAAAAAAAAAAAAAAAATAGCTGAGCATTGTAGCCCCAGCTACTTAGGAGGCTAAGGCAAGAGAATTGCTTAAGCCCAAGAGTTTGAGGTTGCTATGAGCTGTGACGCCACAGCACTCTACCCAGGGTGACAGCTTTGAGACTTTGTCTCAAAT